TCGTTCCTCAGACCATTCCCAGTTTTACAGAAATGCAGGTTCCTTGCCTTTGGGTCGCTCCTGTACGAGGTGGGAGGTTGCCCACCTGTCATCTGCTTTCCCGTGGGAGCGCTCCTGTAGGCCAGTCGTTCCCATCGCTGACATCTTTCTCTGGGCCCTTTGGGCAGGAGAGAAGTGGAGCCGTATGTCTTCCATCTGTAGGTCACCCGTATGCTGAATGCAGTGACACAATTGTCATGTTTGCTCTTTATTTCTGATAACTTATTAATTCATATCCAAATATATACATATATCCATATCAAAGAATTTTTTCTCTCACTCCCACTTGCACATGCCCAACTTTTTCTTCAGCTGTGTGCCTGCTAGTTCTTCTGCCCACCCAGGCTGGACACCCAGTAGTAGTGCCGTAAGGCTGCCTGTGGCACGCAGGTGTGGAGCAGTGGGCACAGGCTGTGGTGGGACAGCGGGGGGGCATGCTGTCATGTCGAAGTACCACCTGCCTGCAGAGGACAGCAGAGAGAAGAGGGGTCGCCTGCTTTCTTTTTCCAGTTAGAGGAAGGGCGAGGTGTCAAGTCCCTCTTCAGTGAACCCCTGCCCAGGATTTTCAGGAGGCAGCAGGCACCACTGCTGTTCTGGCTGCCCCTTCTCAACATCCGCACTCGACCTCACTGGGCAGCGCACTTAAAAATGCCCGATAAAAGCGTGTGCACATACATCATCTTCCATGTGCGCACACTGCGAGCAGCGGTGATGGGCTCTCTGAACAAAGAGGAAGAAGCAGGGGGGACACAGATTGCCAAACTCCTGTTGTTTTTTTTTTCTTGTTTTTCTTAACAGGGGTAAACAAAGTCTGGAGCTCCTTTGCCCACTCTACCTGTTACAACTTGGGAGACCTCCTTCAAAGTCTTCCCCCCTCCCCCCAAAAAAAAAAAAGAGGACAAACATGTTTAAGGTTTGTACAAAACACCTGCTGCTGCTTACTAAGATCTTAGCTCTGGCATTCTCGCTCACTGTGAGAAAAACGTGTTTGCTGTTCACTAACTTTGCTGCTCAGAGGTCATCAGCAGCTCTGTGTGTCTTGTTGCTGAACGAAGCAAGTGCTTCATTTAAAACCTGCAGTTAACAATATGGGGTTATGGTTATGCCTGGGAAGTCTAGCGCAGCCTCTTACCGAGCTCTTGCCGATTTCAGTAGTATTTAACGCTAGGAAAGGCTGGGCTTTGTAGGTAAGGTGAGGAACGTGGTGAGTCCCATTGGCATGCCACCAATCACTCTTTTGCCAGAAGCAGGAACATTAAACACTCTTGGATGTTATTTTTGAGAATCTGCCTGTTGAATGCTGTCCTCCATCTCTTTTTAGGTTTAAATTCTGTTGTTGTTGAGGCTTGAAAATGTGCTTGAAGTGTGTAGTTCAGAGATGTTGTCTTTAAAGATTTGAAATGCATCTTTATTGCAGGAGTCCCCATACAAATGGATTCTGAAAATGAACTGTTAAAGCTCATGTGCCAAGTAACAGTGGGTTAGTAACTAAACTAGCAATTTTTATACTTGTTGTGATGGCTTAAGTTAAATCTGTGCCATAGCTAGTTTTGAGATCACAGTATCTGGATGACAGAGTGCACAGCTCCACTGCTTTGTGTTTTCTTTTGGCACTGTGGTACTTCAGCTCATCTCCTGCATAGGCCACGCAGCCCACCCCTGACAGACGAGACCAGGCGTGCAGGAGGTTAGGCCAAAGAAAGGCTTTTGTGTAGGCTAAATTAAGCAGCAGTAGCCTCTGCAGTGTCAATACGTATATAACGTGTATTATAATTAGTTATGTATGAATAAAAGTTTTTATCCCTTTTTCATAAATAGGAACAGAAGAAAAAATCCAGGAACTTCTGGAAAGCAGGAAAAGCCTGGATAACAAGATTGAGCTGCTGCAGGACTTAAAAGAAGTCGTCCTTCCTACCCCAGAGAGCACCGCGAGTACATCTAGTACAGTGTCCGAATAACCCCTGCGTCTGTCTGTAACAGTGTCGATATTTAGGGTTTTCTAATGATAGAAACCATAGAGCACGTCTGGTCAGTGTCTAAGTGATTCCCTCCCCTCCGCCCAAGACAGGGACACAAACAAGAGCTGGGTGTTTTACTCATTTTTATACCTCACTGTTGCAATAATTTTAAGTTGTCCCTTTCTCTAAATTTTACTATGGATAATGAGTGTTACACACCAAATTTAGCTTTCTTAAAGCTTGACAAACCCCTCCACTGAAGTCTTTTTTTCTCAAAGACAAGGGAGCAACTCTTGTTAAAGTAACTGTGGGAGCCCTGTGCTGACTGGGGGCGGTAGCTGCTTCGCTGTCTGCTCCCAGGCAGCGCTGGTTTAAGGATCACATTGCTGCTCTGGCATTCCAAAGATGATAAATCAGCAGCACTTGCACTCAAAGAAGCCTTCTGAATTACAAACAGGAGTTTGGGTTTCTTAAATAATTAAATGATTCTTGATTGACTGCTTAATATATAACTAGTCCTGCTGTACTGGCAGTGGTGAAACAGTGTTTGCAGGCAGCCCAGAAATGGTTGGGCATCATACTCTAAAACACGTACAATGTAAAGTGGATCAAATAATGGACTGTATTTTCCTTTCTTCATTAAGAAAGGATATGATTTCCATTTGTTTTGTCTTAAAAAAAAAGTTTGAATACAGAAAGATTGTTTAGCTACAAAAGGATAAGTTAATCAAATAAAATGTTTTTAAGAAAGCTGTGTATTTAGTTGTGCTTACTAGCTCTAGGCTTGACAGCTGCTGTGATGTTACCTCTGGTAATTTTAACTGAGTGGAAGCTTTCACGTTTACTCACAACTGTGTGAAGTGTAACACAAGCAGGTGCCAGGTCCTGCACTGGGGATGGGTGATCCTGGTTCTACCCAGGCATGGGGGGACCAGAGGCTGGCGAGCAGCCCTGCAGAAGGAGAGCTGGGGCTTGGAGCTGAGGGCAAGTTCAACATGAGTCAGCCTTGGGGTCAGCGAGCACAGCACTGCCAGCCTGTCCCACCTACACTGCACTGGGGCAGCGCTGGGCCCCTCAGTATAAGGAGGGCATCAGGCTGTTAAGAGTGTGCCCAGAGGAGGGCAGCCAAGCTGGTGGAAGGTCTTAAGGGTCAGACTCACCAGGAGGGGCTTGTTCAGCTTGGAGAAGAGAGGGTAGAGGGGTGACCGCACCCCAGTTACACCTTCCTCCCAGGGGGCAGCGGAGCCAGAGATGCCGATCCCTCTGGTGAGCAGCGATAGGATGGAATGGAGCCACACCAGTGGAGAAGCTGAGATGGAACAACAGAAGGTTCTTCACCAAGAGGGTGGTCTGTCACTGGACTGGGCTCCCCAAGGAAGTGGTCACAGCGCCAAGCCTCTCAAGAGTTCAGGGCATGTCTGGACAATGCCCTCCATCATACGATTTAGTTTAGGCAGTCCTGTGAGGAGCAAGGAGTTAGACTAGATGGCCCCTTCCAACTCGAGATATTCTATGGTTCTATGGGATAAGGCTGTCACACCACAGTTCAACTACTCCCTAGAGCAGCAATCAATTTCTGACAAGCCTCAGAACAGCTTGGAGGGTAAGTCCTGCACTCTTCTGTTCCACCCCCTACCACACTAGACCTTCAGTCTAGAGTTTGCAATCACCAAACAAGTTGTTTATGAGAAACACTGGTGACAGGTGTGGAAGCACTGTCTCAGACTATCCTAGACTGAGCTCCCAACGATGTGCTACAGAAGCTCCCTGGCCTCTATCAAGAATGTGCAGTTCTTGGCTTTCCAAAATTTAGCAAAGTCATAGCCCCAAAGTCAGACCCGTAGTTCACCTGAACTTCAACTCTGAAGTTCCAGGTCCTCTCCTCTACCCTGCAGTTGGTGCAAACGTAACACCTGAAAAGCACACAATAAAAACAGTAAGTGCCTATGTCTGTACGTACCTGCTGTAAGGTTACAGCCACATACGGACTCATGTGCAAAAAAAAAAAGTCAGCTCCATAGATTGTAATCACTGGGGTCTAAATTGGTGCCTACACAAGTTTGCTGTTTTCTGAAACTGAGATCACAGGCATTCATAAGCACAGCAAAACCAGTAAGATTATAAAGAAATAAAACCACTTATATGCTCTACGTAACACAAAAAGCTTGCCAATTACTTCAAAGTCCAAGGAAGTTTGCTAGTGAACAGGTACGAAAAAAGTGAATTTTATTACATGTAGTTTAAATTTATGCAACACTTAAATGCAAACCCCCCACTTCCAGAGCAGTGTATCCCTTCCCCTGCAAGGGAACCAATGTAATCCAAAGTCACCAAAGAGGGAATTTTTTCCATTAACCATTACAAATATTGCTCGAACAGATTACATTACAACTTATATTAAGGTATACCCAAATATAGAGATTTACTTCCAATTAGATTTGCTAGTTACCCCTTTCTTCAAAGTCACTTGCGCAGGCTTTGAGGATGTATTATTTTTGCACCAGATACACTTGGTTAATGACACACAGCAAATGGCAAATTCATTCACAATCATGCAAATGCAGTAAGAGAGATCCATGCCATTTGCTTCTACGCTCCCCGGGAGTTAATGATGTAAGTGACAGCATTCAGTGGCTCAGGTCAGACTATTCTCCAAGCCCAAGAAGTAAACTGAAAACATTAACAGGTGCTGCTAGAGTGGAGATTTCCTAGGCTAAGAAGGTAAAACAGCAGCTGGTACCCCTCACATGCTGCAGGGCTTCCTCTATCCATCAGAAATCCTGAGCCGGTTCCACCATCCAGGTCTGCTAAACGCAAGTGAATAGTTTGCTTGACGTTTTTACAACAGTTCCCTCGTGAGCACAGAAAACCTTCATTTTCATGGCAGCCTTTCATGTCTTCTGGTGCAAGAGACCAGGTAACACTGGCTTTTACCCGTACGGTTACAGCATCCTGTTATACCTGCAGGAAACCCTACAAACACCCGTAACTTACAGCTTCATTTCAGTTCTTAAAGGCTCCACATTTACTGGCTTTAGCAATGAACTCCTTTAGCAGGGGACCATCCATCTGCCAAAACGCTGTAGTTTGTGTCACTTCCGTCAAATGATTGACACAAAACTTGAAGCAGAATTCCTCTAAGTCCTAAATAGAAAAAAAAAAAAAAAAAAAAAAAAAAGAAAAAAAATCTTATTATCTTTGCTTCCATCACAGAAAAATACATTCAGGCATGTATGAGTGCCTGTACATGCTTTATTTTTTCAGAGAATTACACATACACATTAACGCAGTGGCTCTCAGTGTTTTTCCCCCATGCTGCATCACTACATAAATGCAACAGAAAGTAATAATTCTACCCATGTAACATGATTACCAGGGGAAAAGTAACCACAATTTGGTTCTCACTATATAGCTGCAGTCACAAAAGTCAGCTAATTCTGAGAAACACATTTTAAAAGTTTTCCCACTCGAAGAGTTTCATCTGCATTCAGACAGCTATTAAAACCCAGTGCAAATAGGAGATCTTGGGGTAATGATATATAACCAAGGCTGTAGATTAAAAAAATTCAGCTCTTCCGTTCCACAACATAAAAGTGAAATCTATACGTAAGGTTGCCTAACTTCCTGCTTAGTTAAGGGCTTCACTAAAGCCTTGAAGTTGCATGTCACCAATCTCAATGCAAGCGCGTGCTGACTGGATAGCTCTAAAGCTATCCTCTAGTTTTGGCAGAAGGCCTTTCTGTGCATTAGAAACCGACACATTACAAAACATTTCACAGAAGTCCCAAAAATAACTCAGAAGTACTGCAGCACAATACAGCACAGAAATTCTTGCAGAAAGTCGACTCCAAATATCTGAGTCTACTTGGAAGTGCCTTCCTTTTACGGATCAGCAAAGCCTCACAGCCAGCCATCATTGCACCCATGTGATGTCAGAGAGAAAAGATGTCTAAAAAAAACCCAAGACAGTCACCGTCAATATAAGGTTGACTGCAGAATGCTTTTCACTCAGATTATTTGTTTCCAGCTCCTCTTCTGAGGAGGAAATCTAGTCTTTGTGGTGCAGATCGAAGCTGCTGTAAGAGGGATGCTGCAGCCCTAACGAAACAGCAACTCCCCATCCTGTTCTAATTTCTTTATTTGTTTGTACGTTTGTAGAACCAGTACTTTATACACGAGAACACAGCCCTCCTTAGCTGCTCAGCAGACTGGGTGCTGCAGTAAGGCATAAAAAATTTGCAGCTCTAAGCCACATGATGTATGAAAGACTGATTAATACATTCACATTTTCACTTAAGGTCAATACTGAAAGCTAGAGCAACTGTGTTCCAGTGAGAGTTCTTGACACAACAATAACATAAAAATGTATCCTGGCCTAAAACCAGGCATTCTGAAGCTGCAGATCTTGACTTGTGTGGCATCTGTGCAATGAAAAAAGACAAGCTTATTAGAACTGAACACTGAGAGTTTTCTGTTTTTTTAAATAACAGAATGAACTAGCATTTAAAACAAAAATACATCGTACACGTTACAATATTTTGCACTGCTTTATTAAAAAGAAATCATATTCCAAGTCAAAGCAACAGAAGCATACAATAAACAGAAGTATTGAAGCATTAGTAACTAACTTTGGAAAATTCAAAGTTCTTTATTAAAAAAAGGCTGAATTTCATTTGCAGATGGATGCACTCCCAGCAAACTACTTAATATAGACTTCAGTGAATAAAGGCACAAGGTACATCCAATCACTACTTTAAAAGTTACAGTAAGAAGCCAAACCTGACCTAATTCTAGCCACTTCAATTCAGTCAGTTGCCAAAAGAAAGACAGTATAGGAGAGTTTCATGTCATGAAGGCATTTCAAATTAGTGAAGCAGCTTCTTTAAACTGTTGTCTTCCAGACACACAGCCCCTTGAACAAACTACATCATCCAAGCAATTTCAAGCCCCTATCTAGCATAACTGCACATTTTACTAAAGCCCAACCCCTCAGTGTCACCCATTCTCTCCTCGATGCAGCACTTAAGGCCACCATTCTAACTTCACTTAGCTAGTGAGGTACAGCCAAGGCACAGCAACTGGATTTCTTCTACCCTTTGCAAGTGGAATCAATCACACACTGAAGATTCCTCCTGGAAAAAAAATCTTCTCAGGCTAAAATACGGAAATCTTTCTACTTTCCATGAATTCCCATCAAAGAAATTGTTACTCACAGTAGAGCTGAAGCCACAATCTGGACTCCAACACAGCCCTTTGGGTAAGGTATATCAAACAAGCAACACACTACAAGGCTCTGAAATAAGGCATCTGCATGTCAATTGCTGGATATTAAGTATAAGAAAAAGCAATGAGTTGATTTATGGAGTACCAAAACTGCTTTATAAGCATAAGTAGCAAGTTAAAGACCAGCCTCACAAAGTTGCAGACATGACGCACAGATACTATGCTGAACACAAACAGCCAAAGCAAGCCCAGGAATACTTCCTGATTAGTTTACGAAGTAGCAAGTTAGCAATCTAGTAGTGAAGTCAGACATAATGCAGCAGGGGAGTTTCGTTAGCCTTCCCCCCTTTTGCACACTGTTTCTCCATCTTCAACATTTATTAGGCCCCGAACACAGTTCTTACCCTGCCATTTCATTAGCATACTGTGAAGACTGGAAGTATATTTGACTGCAGCTAAACAAAACAAAAAAGCCAACAAAAACACTCTGCCAAACAAAAAAAACCCAAATGCTCTCAATGCCCAAACCTACCATAATATGACATCACACACAACACACAACCTTACAAATAAGTAACTTCAGGCTTACAATACTGTTATGGGTTTTGCTTTGTATTTAAACCCTTCCCTTGTTTCAGAGTTAGTGTTATCATCCTCAGGATTTTTTTGTTCCTGTTGCTCCCCACAGCCCCAGAAAAACAGTCATTCATGAAGCTTGGCACAGCATCATAACCTTTTACCATGAAACTAAGCAATGCAAGCATTTACGGATAATGAGTCTCAGCCTTGGACTTTACTCATCTTTAGATACCTGGCTACTGGTTCACTTTCCCAGTACTGGTTTATGAAAAAAAAAAATTAAGATACATCTCTCATGGCAAATAGAGTTTTTATAATTCAAACATTCTCAAATTCTGCAAACGGCAAATAGTATTACCTGATAGTGAGAGAGAGTTTACATGAAAATATAACTGGCTGCTTCTCTCCATAGTTTAAGTCAGATAGCAACCACCTATTTAAGAGATTCAAGTTTAGAAGTTTACCTCTGCATCATATCTGACAGCAGCAGAGAGCAATGAAAATGCGTTTTCCACAGTAATTCCTCTCTTGATAATGTGTTGACACAGTTTTTTCAGTCTAGTTTCACAGTACGAAGTAGCCAAATCCAAAAGCCCTGCAATTAAACAGCCATCGTATTAGTCAGTTGTAATGACCTCTGCTCCCTCAACAACAATTTATGCTCCTAGGGCACAGGCTGCATCTGTATTCTGTATGCAATGTTCTATATGTCTATCACGTGCTTTTTGCAAGTAGGTCACTATTCAGAAAAATGTATTTTACCATTACACAGGAAGAAAGGCCTTTTATTACCTCATGCCACAATCCTGTTAATCTCTGTAAATATGCAAGCTGTTCCACTGATCTGCAAACCTAATTGCTTGTGAGAGTGGGACTGTCACAAAACAGGCACCACAACACAAGTAAAAACCTACCATCATAAAAATCTGCATTTGAATCACAGCTTGCTCTTTGCTCTGCTGTCCCATTTTCCCCCATTAGATCTACTGAGATTCTTTCATCTTAACCTAAACAATAACTGACTCAATTTAGTAAAATATACAAGTATTTTAAGCCAGAGAAATAGTTTCTCTCCCAACCTTGATAAAACTGCTGATAGTTTATTTCTAATTATGCACCACTTTTGTTGTAGTAAGTTTGCTACAACAGTATTTTAAATTAATCTTAAGCTTAATTAATCACCGGTTAAATGCACTGTAGGCTAGACTAGAAGCCTGTATTAACACAGCTATTCTGCATCCCCTGTCTCAGTTCTTCCAGATGCTGCTTTCCAACATAATTGGACCATAAGCAATACCTATTGCATCTTCAGGCGGAAGGTCAACACTGTCTGTATACAAGTACTCAAGAAAGGCACGATACACAGGATAAGAAAACTGGTCTATTTCTATCACTTCCTTCATATCCTCATTCCAGTATGACTGGAACATGGTTCTGAAGTGTTCACACCTAAGAGACAAAGACATCATCTGGAACACTATGACATGAACACACAAACATTACATTACAGTCCCTGTGAAATACATATTTGGTACACTCTGCAATGTTGACAAATATTTTACCATACCACATCACAGCCAGTGGTCCACATTTTGGTTCCTAATACTGTGGGCGTTGTTATAGTTGTGCATCAAGATAAAACTCTTATTTGATCTATGCTACAGAAACATCTGTGTATACATTTGCAATCAGACCAACTTAACAGAATTTATTACCCTGGAAACTACAAATAGGCTTAGTGAAAATTGAACACGAACCATTTTAAGACAGAGTTTTGATTCAGCTCTTTTTACAATCACTTAATTTAAAATTATTATGGATACATAGATGCTATATATTACAGGCTTATGGGTCCCTCCCTACCCCTTACTTTCCCCTGCCCTTAGATGCAATACTAAGAGGTTATTCTGTACAAATAGGAGCTGTAAAACGTGACCACTACCTGATTTTCAGAACAGCTTTGTGGACATGGATGTATTTTCCATCCACACGGAACTTTAGGTCTGAGGTTTCTGGACTGTCAAACTCCTTCTTCAGAGATTCTGCTACCGTTAAAAAGTCTTCATGCTCTACAGAAACAATTTTAAAATAAACAAACCAAACATGTTAAACATCTGAATTGGAACACACACATCACTAACTAAAGCTAGCAGCTTAACTAAGAGCACATCAAGGAAAATAGGTCAGTATCAGGGCTCACAGAATCACAGAATGGTAGGGGTTGGAAGGGACCTCTGTGGGTCATCTAGTCCAAGCCCCCCCCACTGAGGCAGGGTCACCTACAGCAGGCTGCATAGGACCTTGTCCAGGCGGGTCTTGAATATCTCCAGAGGAGGAGACTCCACAACCTCCCTGGGCAGCCTGTTCCAGTGCTCCATCACCCTCAGAGGGAAGAAGTTCTTCCTCACGTTCAGACGGAACTTCCTGTGCTTCAGTTTGTGCCCATTGCCCCTTGTCCTGTCGCTGGGCACCACTGAAAAGAGTCTGGCCCCATCCTCCTGACA